TTAGAAGTCCCCTTAATATGCCTCAATCAGATGACCCAATTTTTCCCCGACAAGAAAATAAAGAAACTTTAACCAACATAATTTAGCTCATATAAAAACCAATAAAGTTGGACAAAAACTTCGACACATGCATATGAGTACATAAAGCCCTTTCTTATTTTTTCGTCAAGTGAATAATACATAAATATAAATAACAAATAAAACAGAGCTACCGAGGCCAAATTAAAAAGGGGAAGGAAATAAATGAAATTATCGTGGACACGATTTCGCTAATTAATCGAACAATTTTGCTAATTAACTAATTAAGTTCCTCTCTGAAGCATTTGCTCGTAGTTTTCAATTGACTCGAGCCTCTGAAGGAGCAATTGCTGTCTGAATTTCCTTATAAAAGCTTCTGCACTTTCATTAACATCTTCTGTTGTCTTCCTCTCCAGCTTACTTTTTGGTGGCGCCGCCACTTTTTTGGCCCTACCCGGCTGCGCACCGCCCGTATACTCCCTTAGATCCACATTTTTTAGCTCAATCTTTTCTTTCTCATCAATTTTTCTTAGGAAGGATGGTTTAACTTGGCTATTCATTTGGATAGTTTTAGACAATTTTTTTTCTTGAAATTGAAAGGGATGGGCCGTGTGTATTTATAGAGAAGAAAACATTGGCAACACACTCATGGTTGCTTAAAAGTTGGGAAATTTTAGAGCCCTTTGGTTTCATTTTATCTCACGGGACATCTTTTTTGAACGCGAAAGTTAGGTAGTATTCGAATAAATTGATGAGAAAATAAAAAATCAAAATGGGTTTTCTGTTTTCCAAATACAATTAATTGGGTTGACTCGTCTTATTTTTTAAATAAAAATACATATTTATATTGTAGAATATTATTATTTTACTTTACATTATTCTTACAAATATGATAATTTAATATTAAAATATGTATATTTATTAAAAATGTAACGGTGGTTCACAGCAACCCTACCTTGTGTATACATATTAAATGTATCTTAACATTAATAATGATTGTTGTATGATAAAACTAATTAATACATCTACACTACAAAGTAATAATCATCGAAATCAATAACATGAGTTTTCAAGTAATGTTCACGTGAAATTATACGTAAAAGCCAGATAAGCCAACTTAGAATTAGATGGCTTGACTTTGATAGGGAAATTAATGGTTGGAATTACTCACACGAATGTGATAACTGTTACATAAAAGTAAAACCTTGCGGCTTAAGCGATGGCTATGAACCGAAAGCTACAACATGACTTGCACTTAAATCTGAACACATTTATCTTATTTTATTTTATTTTGTCTAGTAAGTTATACAAAGATAAATTAGGTTAGACTGCGGTATAAAAAACAATCTTATCTACAAATGGAATACTACTTTTGATTTTTCCTTGTGCTTGCTAGAAGAAAAGTGCGAAATTAGGCATGCAACCACATTTATCCATCAATGACCATAATTAATGAAATTTGTATCTACAAAAATAAAATTATAATATGATAATTACAATGAAAAATTTCATTTAATTATCATGACAAGAATAGTCATAAGTGATCATACTCTTCTATTTTAGTGGATACAAGGAAACACAAATTTAAATAATCAAACAAATTTTCAATGCTCTATTATTGATTGTAAATATAGAATAACATTTTTGGAACCGTAACGAGTTGTGGATAAAATTTATCTAGATAGAAAGTTAGACCTAAGAAATAATGTGAGTACGGCAACTAACCAACAAAAAAAAAAATGGAAAAACATTAATGTGGGGCTAGCTGTTTTGTATATTGTTCGGAACATTAGGTGCACGTGATAATTATGTGAAGAGAGCTCGTACAATTTGCACATGCATTTTCTGTCATTGCTATAAGCGAACAATCATGTGGGCATGGGCTTGTGAAACATATGCCTCGCAATTCAATTGGAAACTATAATGCAATGCACAAGGGTCGAATTGGAATAAAATTAATTTTTATTCATATACATCACATTAAAAATATAAATAATTAGTTAAAGTGATGCAAATTTCTTATTGATATTGATGTGTACATATTTATGTTTAGTATGATATAATGTGCGTTAGGATCACAAATTAAATAATTTATTTTGTTAATTGTTCAAGACTTTTACATTTCTACTATACTTTATCAAAAATCTTGTAAAAACATAAAAATAAAATGCTTAAATAATACCCTTTTGTTGCAAAATTACAAGTTTTTTCTAATAAATAATTTATTAAGTTGATTGTTTAAGACTTTTATTACATTTCTACCACACTTTTTAAAAATCTTGTAAAACTTCGAAAAAAAAAAGCTTAAATAATAACCTTATTTTGCAAAATTACGGAGTTTTTCTTGGCGGTCGGAGCTTGGGCCGACTCTGTTTTTTTCCCCTGGATCTCGTCGGTCATCTAGATTGGAGATCAGCAGTTCCTTCTTCAGTCGGAAATGGTCAGGGCTGTCGGTGTGGTGTTGGGGGAGGTGATGGGTGCCGGTCTCCGTGTTTTGCTTTTTGGTGGTGGTCCGTTGTGGAAGGAGGTCTCGACTTGTCGATTGGAATGAGTTATCCTTAGTCTAATGAGTGATGGAATTTGGACTTTCTTGATCTGTGTCTGGACTGTGTTATTGTCGTTATTGGGATCGTCTTCGATTGTTGTTCTCGCTGGGAAGGGTGAGGGTTGTCGAACGGTAGTGAAGAAAGTTTTATTGTATCGATTAGGTGTATGTTGTAGATCGTTTTGCTTTTCTTATAGTTTTTAGATTTCAGTCCAACTGCGTTTGACTTTTAGTCTCCTTTATGGAGTTGTTTTGTCTCCTTCATAGAGTTCTTTTTTTGTTGCGGTGCATGTACACTCTCGGTCGCCTATGTAATTTCAAGAAGGGTGATCCACACTTTGTTCTGACTCTTTTTATGTCAGTTGACAACTCGAGTGTACTCTTTCTATATTTTAAAAGAAGAAAAAAAAATTCTATGATTCTCACTCCGTATGAAATCACTGGGGAAGTTATGCATAATTGTCATTGTACAATTCGAAAGGGTCTTCATCACCAACGCGGTCTGTGAAAGGGGATCGATAAGCGTCTCGAATATATCGGACCCAAATTTATGGATTCTGAAATGAAGAGTGACAACTTCAATTGGCCTGGACAACGACGCTAGCTAGGGTTAGTTGCCTCTTTCTATTTATTTTGTAGCCTATGAAGAGAATCCATATGATTGCAAATAAAGTTAGATCTCATATAATATGTAAATTAGATTTATGACAATTTTATGTATCAGTAATTTTCTCATTTGTTAACAAGTTGATTAAGCATTTATTTAGGACGGCCCAGTACATTTGGGGTGCCCTTCCAGATGGCCCAGTTAAAATATGATACATTAGTCCAACACCGTCCACTAGACCTTCTCTACCTGTTAAGTGATCAGAGAAAGTGGACCCAGCTTACACTAAAGCCCATCTAAGAAGCCCAGATGCTGTATTCACATGAATCATTTGCTTCACTGGAAAATGAAAGTGGAGCATATTTTCTGCCAGCAATGGTTACCATCCAAAGATTCACTCTCCGCTTAATTCCCACAGCCGCTCCACTTGCCCGACCTATTTTCGGGCTTCGAAGGCCCGCATTAGGGCCCCAAACAGTGGTCCCTTCAAGGAGCCACAGCTCTGGTTTAGCTCCACGTGCGGGTTGGTTCCTGGGCATGGGCGACAAAAAGATTGCGTTACCGGACACAGTGAAAGCCGGCGACCCGGTTCTCCACGAGCCGGCTCAGGAGGTCCGGCCCGAAGAAATCGGGTCTGAGCGGATACAGAAGATTATAGATGATATGGTGAAGGTCATGAGGAAGGCACCTGGGGTTGGCCTTGCTGCCCCTCAAATTGGGATTCCTTTGAGGGTTAGTATATTTTTGTGCCGATTATTTGTAATACGAATTTATCTTGTAAATTGCAGTGTGTTTGTTCAATTGTTTGTTTCTGTATAATTTCAATTGAGCCAAGTGAGTGAAAAGATAAATGAAATCAAATTTATCACATTTTTTTCTGGGTGAAATAAGTATCATTTGCAACAATGTGATGCCAATGTAGTTGAGTATCAAGAAGAATGAAGTGTGAAAGATAATTTTTTTGTCATCAGCAAACTCGAATAATTTAATGTGTGAAACATATTGTGTCCACCCTTTTTCTTATTTACCTTGTAACATTGGTAACAGATAATCGTTCTAGAAGATACGAAAGAGTACATAAGCTATGCCCCAAAGCAAGAGATTAAGGCACAAGACCGGCAGCCTTTCAATCTTTTGGTATGTGTAAATATGGAAATGTATAATATGATCAATGTCAGTAGGAACTTTGTTGTATGGTGAATTTTATGACCTTTTAGTGCACAGGTTGTGATTAACCCCAAGCTGGTAAAGAAGGGTGACCGAACAGCTTTCTTTTTCGAAGGGTGTTTGAGGTAAGATATAGGCAAATTGTTTCAAACTTTGAAATATTTTGTTGTGCACATGTCAATCTCTAGTCCCTGATATATCTCGCATACATTGAACAATGGACAAGACCATTTTTTTAAGGTGATATTCGGGTTTTCGTGAAAACTCGGGCAAAAGAGGATATTATTCAAAGATTTTTCTTTGGGGAATTTTAGAGTTGATGAGTAGGATAATTTTGCTTGGCAATCGCCTTCTGTTTATGCTGGGAGCTGCATTATTGATTTGTTTGGTGAAGAAATCGTTGACTTGATGAGCTTCTAAAGAATAATTATGATTAAGGCTATGTTTGGTAAAACTAGCTGATAAGGTAGCTATCTAGCTAATAGCTGATAAGCTAGCTTGTCAACTTATAAGTGATTTTGAGCTTATAGCTTATGACTTATAGCTGAAAAATTAGCTTAATAATAAAAGTGTTTGGTAAAATTAGCATAAAAATTTCAACGAACTTATTTGAAAAGCTACCCAAAGAAGCTTATAAAATAAGCTCAAGCTTGTTTAACAAAGCTCGTCCTACCAAACGAAACTTATTTGAATACATGAAGTTTATAAACTAATCGAATAAGCTATAAGCTAGTTTATTTAGTTACCAAACATAGCCTAAGTTGGGCTCTTTTAACCAGAGCTCCATTAACATATATAACCTTTTTTCTTTAAGATGAAAAAGAAAAGGGAGAAAAGACTTTCTAATATTTTAAATCCCACCTTGATTTATACAAATTCTACAAGTACCATGAGGGGCATTTGTAATTTGTCACAGAACTCAGTTCCTGGATTAATTTCTGTTTTTTTTTTTCTAGTGTGGATGGCTTTAGGGCAGTAGTCGAACGGCACTTAGAGGTTGAGGTTACTGGTCTCGACAGAGATGGACAAGCAATCAAAGTGAATGCTAAGGGTTGGCAAGCTCGGATTTTTCAGCACGAATGTGATCATTTAGATGGAACGCTTTATGTGGACAAGATGGTTAAAAGAACTTTCAGAACCGTGGATAATTTGGATTTACCGCTTGCTATTGGTTGCCCCAAATTGGGCGTCCGTTAGCACTTTTTTTAAACTTCTTACTTTTCCTTCGAAAGTTGAGCCTGATTTGTGTTGGAAAGTATGTGTGCAATATTGATCATATCAATACTGAAAAAAGTTGGTATGGTTGAAGTTACTATAGTTCTTTTTGTTCGTGTATTCGAGTTGAAACTCGCTTCCAGCTGCAGCATTTCACTTGGGAATAAAATGTCTATATTTCGTCATCTTTTGCTTTTTTGCTTCGGCTGATTAGTGTTGTCGATTAGCAATAATATTTTCCCAACCCTAAGGCGATTCAAATGATTAAAGGGCAATAATATCTGTTACTAAAGTGCAGAATATTCATAGTCAGGCATGCAAAGAGTGCAGAAAATCCCAGTAAAGTGCATAACAAACAATAATTTCCCTAGCAAAATCCACCTGTTCCTTAAATGAACAAACAAAAACACTGCTATCTTTAATCTTGTCTACAATAAAGCTAACTTCAGGGGTTTTTAATTTAATGTTGAATGCATTCAGAAAAAGAAGGCAAGAAAGCTGCTAAGAGTATATATTATTTTTACTAAACTACATCAAAATCATCTTTGCTCCACCTTGTCGAGTTTGACTTAACCTGATGCCGGATAATAATATCACCAGACGAGAGGCAAGAAGGTGGGTACATAAGGCCCGAGCTCGTACCATATGCTTCCCAGCAGAAAGACTTTGCGGTGTCTGTTGATGTAATAATTTGAATATTTTCGAGATATAACCTTTTGCATGGATAGGTATCACTGCATGCAAATACAATAGCTTCCTCTTTTGCCGATGTCCCTTTGATGTTGCGAAAGGTTACACTGTCGATTCTGACCGATGAAGTCTGCATCACGAATGCAAATTGCAATTTCTCAAATTCTGGTAAATTAAAGAAAATATCTCATTTGGCTTACGCGCTTAGCATGAATACTTTGCTTCTCGGAATTTGTATTTTGTTTTTTTTTTTTTAATTTAAAAGTTGACTTCACAGTTCATGAAATAGAAGCAAATTTTGAAATCAGAATTTGAAATTAGGATGAATAGTTGGCTTTTTGCTGAATTTAAACAAATTCACAAGGCTATTTTTGCAATCACATATTAGTTGAAGCACGACTTTACCTGATTTAGACAAGTTGCCGATGAGTCGCAATAATATTGATCGATTATAATAGGATTTGAGACATTATTCATCAATATGTTCTCGAACGTGATTTTCCTTGCAAACCCGCTGCCACCCTATTAATAAAATAAGTAAATAAGATAATAAATTCAAAGAGAGAACCAGAATCTGAATGACTGTGGTATGTTAGAACCTTAATAAGCTGTAACAAATGTTTAGGAAGGAAAACAAAATAAATAAAACCGTCGAGTCTTAAGAAAAAACATCACTAATATACCTGCCAAGTTTTGATCCTGACACCATTCTCAGTATTGAACAAAAATGCCCCATTAACAATAACATCATACACTGAAGAAGATGAATTGTACTTCCCCAAACTCCCAATGCTGTCAAATAAGTTCCAACTGTTGTTATATACCGGTTTTTACAAGGATAATTTAAATTGGGAACAAAAAAAAAAAATTAAGTTGCATTACCTTATACCGTGGCCTGGCCCGCAAACTATATTCTTCACTCGAATCTTGGAAGAGTTGCTCACTATAGACAAACAGTCATCCCCTGCCAACAATTCAATTCACCAACGAAAAAAGTTAGAAAGTGAAATAATAAAAAATTTGCAGAAGAGATGAGTATTACAGTTTCACATGTAACATCAATAAGCACTAAATTTTCTCAAGTATTTTTCGTGAACTATTTTTTTCTCGATTTTGTCCGATTTGTGTCATTACTCTACTTTTTTATTTTGATTTTTTCATATTTGCGTACACTATAAAAATAAAAAAAAAAAAAAAACCTGTCCGTATAATAGTATCCTCGAGCTTGACATTTGTCGATGCACTTATATGAATCCCATCCGTGTTTGGGCTATCGGCCGGTGCTATAACTGTGATTCGAGAAGCCTTTACATGTGTACAGTGGGTAAAGGCCATGTGCATTTGTTGGCTGTTGAAGAAAGTAATGTTTTTAACTTTCAAGTTCTTGCATTTGTGGAAAGTAACAGCCTGCATGCATTATACCAAACACTGGAAAAAATCAGCAAAACTGGCAAATTTTCTACTTCTCATCATAAATTTGATTTTGAGATAAAATATAATAAGTTAGACACTAACCGTTGGTGCATGCGTGCAAGGCTGCCAAAAATGAACCAGGAAGCAATATCAATGACATCTGAATTTCCAGAATATAAATGACTATCATACAACACAAGCCTAAGATTAAAGATAACTACAA